ATCCAGTAAATCTGTCTTATTTTGATGGGAGGTACATCCAGTAAATCTGCCTTACTTTGATGGGAGGTACATCCAGTAAATCTGTCTTATTTTGATGGGAGGTACATCCAGTAAATCTGCCTTACTTTGATGGGAGGTACATCCAGTAAATCTGTCTTATTTTGATGGGAGGTACATCCAGTAAATCTGCCTTACTTTGATGGGAAGTACATCCAGTAAATCTGTCTTATTTTGATGGGAGGTACATCCAGTAAATCTGTCTTATTTTGATGGGAGGTAAATTCAGTAAATCTGTCTTATTTTGATGGCAAGTACATCCAGTAAATCTGTCTTAATTTGATGGGAGGTACATCCAGTAAATCTGCCTTACTTTGATGGGAGGTACATCCAGTAAATCTGCCTTACATTGATGGGAGGTAAATCCAGTACATCTGTCTTACTTTGTTGGGAGGTAAACCCAGCAAATCTCTCTTACTTTGTTGGGAGGTAAATCAAGCGAATCTCTCTTACTTTGTTGGGAGGTAAATCCAGCAAATCTCTCTTACTTTGTTGGAAGGTAAATCCAGTAAGTCTCTCTTACTTTGATGGAAGGTTAATCAAGTAAATCCCTCTTACTTTTGTTGTCAGGTAAATCCAGTAAATCTCTCTTACTCAGTAAATCTGTCTTACTTTGATTGGAGGTACATCCAGTAAATCTCTCTTACTTTGATGAGATGTAAACCTAGAAAATCTCTCTCACTTTGTTGTAAGATAAATCCAACAAGAGGCGCAATGGGCCTGCATCGCTCACCTGTAATTAATCTAACACTTTTAATCTTAAGATTTCATAAGAACCTATTAAAAGATTTAAACATATGACGCCTCTGACCTTGATTGTCGAACAAGGACATTAGGTTGAAAGTGGATCAAGGTCATTCATTTGAACTTACATGGTAGTCCTTCATCCCAGCATGCTACAGGCCCAATTTCAGTACCCTGGCCCTTTTGCTTATTGAAAAGAAGTCACTTGAAGATTTTACGACATTTGACCAATGTGACCTTGAAAATTGGTCAAGGTCATTCATTGAACAAACTTGGTGGTCCTTCATCCCAGCATGCTACAGGCCCAATATCAGTACCGTGGGCCTTTTGGTTATTGAGAAGAAGTTGTATGAAGATTTTAAGACATCTGACACCAGTGACCTTAAAAGTTGGTCAAGGTCATTTATTTAAACAAACTTGGTAACCTTCATCCCAGCATGCTACAGGCCCGATATCAGTACCCTGGGCCTTTTGGTTATTGAGAAGAAGTTGTTTGAAGATTTTATGACATTTGACCCCTTTGACCTTTGAAAGTTGGTCAAGGTCATTCATTTGAACTAACTTGGTAATCCTTCATCCCAGCATGCTACAGGCCGAATTTCAGTACCCTGGCCCTTTTGCTTATTGAAAAGAAGTCGCTTGAAGATTTTACGACATTTGACCCCTGTGACCTTGAAAGTTGGTCAAGGTCATTCAGTTGAACAAACTTGATAGTCCTTCATCCCAGCATGCTACAGGCCCAATATCAGTACCCTGGGCCTTTTGGTTATTGAGAAGAAGTTGTTTGAAGATTTTAAGACATCTGACCCCAGTGACCTTGAAAGTNGTGGTAGTCCTTCAGTCCAGCATGCTACAGGCCGAATTTCAGTACCCTGACCCTTTTGCTTATTGAGAAGAAGTAGTTCGAAGATTTTAACGTGTTTCAACCCGTGACCTTGAAAGTTGGTCAAGGTCATTTATTTGAACAAACTTGGTAGCCCATCATCCCAGCATAGTACAGGCCCAATATCAGTACACTGGGCCTTTTGGTTATTGAGAAGAAGTTGTTTGAAGATTTAAGACATCTGACCCCAGTGACCTTGAAAGTGGGTCAAAGTCATTTATTTGAACAAACTTGGTAGCTCTTCATCCCAGCATGCTACAAGCCCAATATCAGTACCGTGGGCCTTTTGGTTATTGAGAAGAAGTTGTTTAAAGATTTTAACATATTTGACCCCTGTGACCTTGAAAGTGGGTCAAGGTCATTTATTTGAACAAACTTGGTAGCCCTTGTTCCCAGCATGCTACTGGCCAAATATTATCTTCCTAGGCCTTTTGGTTATCGAAAAGAAGTTGTTTAAAGCAAAAAGTTGACGCCGGCCGGACGACTGACTCCGCACCATAACATAAGCTCACTTGCCCTTCGGGCAGGTGAGCTAATAAACCACTCTTACTTTGGTGAGATGTTAACACAGCAAATCTGTCTTTGTTGGGAGGTTCATCCAGTAAATCTGTCTAACTCAAATGGGAGGAATATCCAGTAAATCTCCTACTTTGAAAGGGAGGCAAATCAGGCAAATCTGTCTTACTTTGATGTCATGTACATCCATTAAATACCTCTTACTTTGTTGTAAGGTAAATCCAGTAAATCCCTCTGACTTTGTTGTAAGGTTATTCCAGCAGATCCCTCCGACTTTGATTGGAGATGGATTCATTATCCCTATAATAGTTCAGGGGTTGGGGGTTTGCAATCATACTGAAACAAGAGGCCCAGAGGCCCTGTATCACTCACCTGGATAATAAAGCAACCATTGGAAATTATTCTTATTACATAAAATCCTTCCAATGGTAAAGAAAGGGAAGCATTTTAACAATTTAATCATCTCATTCCTTTTTTGACTCCCGCCACTCTGGCCAAGAGGGGCCAAATCCTCATTTTTTATACAAAATTTAGTCCTCCTTGCCAAATGATGTTCCTAGCCAAATTTGGATAAAATCCCTCCAATGGTAAAGGAAGAAGGATTTGAAAGATTTAAACCTCAAATTTCCATATTGGGCCACGCAACTTTGCAGCTGAAAGGGCCATACCCACTATTTATACAAAATTGAGTCCCCTTTGCCCAATGATGCTCCAGACCAAATTAGGATAAAATCACTTTATCCCTACAGTCGTATTACTTCTTTTAAAGGTTTTACCTTTATTTCCCCTATTGGGCCCTGCTCCTCTTCCCCAAGAGGGGAGGGCCTTTTACACAAAGTTGAGTCCCCTTTCCCCAAGAATGCTCCAGACCAAATTGGGATGAAATAACCTGTGGTAAAAGAAGGATTTAAAATGTTTTACCTCTATTTCCCCTATTGGGGCCCAGCCCCTCTGCCCCTAGGGGCCACACCCACTTATTATATCAAATTGAGTCCCCTTGGCCCAAGGATACTCCAGATTAAATAGGATAAAATCCCTTAATCCTTGTGGTTAAAGAAATATTTTAAAGGTTTTTCCTTTATTTCCCCTATTTGGCCCCACCCTTCTGCCCAAGGAGGTCCACACCCATGCTCCAGACCAAATCCCTTAATCCCTGTGGTAGACGAAGGATTTTAAAGGTTTTACCTCTATTTCCCCTATGGGACCCTGCCCCTATCTATGCCCCTTAGGGGGTCCAAATCCTTTGGACCAGGTGAGCTAAAACTCCAATATTCTCATAAACAAGTAATAAACTCAAGACAGCAGGTTGCAATTTTTTTTAATAAAGCTTAATATGTTATGATATACAAATACACTCCAGAAGAAAATTTACATTTGTTGGTCCCTTGATTTGTTTGTGAGACCTAATACTCCAGTATTAGGTATAACATTTGCTGCCCCCATCCGATACATATAACTTCTTGGGCTAACTTCTTTCTCTCGCAACAACTTTAGGGTTCCTCACTCTTTTTTCAATGGATCAAAGTGTAGTTGGTAAACATTTCTGGTAACCCACTAGTGGGTAACACCCTGTACATGCTTTCATTGGTCAATTTCTAATTATGAAATCAAGTAGCAATGCTTTGTGACATAATCTTCCAATGTGTTGTCAGGAATAATGTATTTCCAAAAGAAATAAGTTTTTTCTAGATACAATTTCTGAACGTTGCGAGAGAAAAAGGTCCCTTAACTTTCGATTTAATTCGATGAATTGTTTCAGCACAATGTATTAGTAAGGCTTAGGTCCGGCGTGGCAGCATGTTGGCTGCCCTGTTGATAGAGGGCAACAAACAACAGTTTGATTCTGGATTTAAAATGTCTTAGAGTCAACAATCTTGATCACTTTTAATTAGCTGTACATTTCATTTTCACGGAAGGAATTAAATGACTGCAAAAGTACATCTTCTTCTCAATATTGTTATGAATGTTCAACATTATGACAGAAAAAAAAATCAAACGTTCACACTTCCAGGACTGTTTAGTACTGTCTCTGCATATTACAATAATAATCAAAGCTTTGATTTACATTTGTTAGAAATACATTTCTGATATGGAAACAGGCACAATTTTTTAAGCTCTATGTAGGTACTAAGGTATTGAAGATTACATTTTGTTGTAACTTGGAATACAATGATGCATTATTTCCTTAAAGGAACAATCAACCAAACAAGTATGATTAGTGTATTTTTTGCTGAAGTTCTAATATGATAGAGTCATAGTTGTATGAATCTCTGTCACGAAAATCAAATTTGAAGTTATTGACATTGCCCGCATCTGAGACAGCCTTGTTAGTTGATGCGTAAGTCATCTTTAGTCCACGTGGGGCTTCTGAATCCAAACACCTGTAAAACAAAACAAGCAATCACCTTTTAATTTGACTTTGCAATATCTATGAGGCCTGCGTGAACACATGTAGTTATTTATTAATTCATACCATAACATTTCTCCTACCGGGGTAATCAGAGAAACCAAGTAACGCATTTGGAAGCATTTGGTGGGGGAAAACAACAATAATTTTCCATGATCTACACCAATGATATTTTCTACCACAATAGGTGGGTGTTATTCAACTCACAAGGCATCAATTAATCATTACAACTGTTGTATAACATAACAAAATTAAACATGCACAACTACAGACCTAGGGGATCCTACATATATAATTTGAGATGGATCTCTCCAGTACTTCCTGAGAAATAGCGATAATAAACCTTCACTGTCAAAATCCAAGATGGCTGCCTATCGGCCATTTTGTTTATCTGCTCGGTCTCAAAAGTATATATGCACAACTACTGACCAAGGGGAACCTACATATAAAATTTGAGAAAGATCCCTCTGGTACTTCCTGAGAGATAGTGATAACAAGAATTGTTTAAGGAAGGATGACGGATGCAAGGCAATTTGAAAAAATAAATAAACAGAACAGTGTGTTATGATAACTTTCTAGAACAGTGTGTTATGATAACATTTTAGAACAATGTGTTATGATTACTTTCTAGAACAGTGTGTTATAACTTTCTAGAACAGTGTGTTATGATAACTTTCTAGAACAGTGTGTTATAACTTTCTAGAACACTGTGTTATGATAACTTTTTAGAACAGTGTGTTATATGATCACTTACTAGAGCAGTGTGTTATATGATACCTTACTAGAACAGTGTGTTATATTATAACTTACTAAAACAGTGTGTTATGTGATATCTTACTAGAACAGTGTGTTATGTGATAACTTACTAGAACAGTGTGTTATGTGATAACTTACTAGAACAGTTGTGTTATGTGATAATTTACTAGAACAGTGTGTTATATGATATTTTACTAGAACAGTGTGTTATATGATAACTTACTAGAACAGTGTGTTATATGATAACTTACTAAAACAGTGTGTTATGTGATAACTTACTAGAACAGTGTGTTATATGATAACTAACTAGAACAGTGTGTTATGTGATAACTTACTAGAACAGTGTGTTATGAGATAATTTACTAGAACAGTGTGTTATGATAACTTACTAGAACAGTGTGTTATGTGATAACTTACTAGAACAGTGTGTTACATGATAACTTACTAGAACAGTGTATTATATGATAACTTACTAGAACAGTGTGTTATGTGATAATTTACTAGAACAGTGTGTTACATGATAACTTACTAGAACAGTGTGTTATGTGATAACTTACTAGAACAGTATGATTACTCACCAGAAGATTAATGCTATTTTCTCTTGGGGCCTATCACCTTTTTTGAAGTGAAAATCATAAAAGATATAGCAAGGTTCGTCACCTTTCAAGCTTCCAATTANTCTAGAACAGTGTGTTATATGATAACTTACTAGAATAGTGTCATGATAACTTACTAGAACAGTGTGTTATGATAACTTACTAGAACAGTGTATTATGATAACTTACTAGAACAGTGTGTTATGTGATAACTTACTAGAACAGTGTGTTATGAAAACTTTCTAGAACAGTGTGTTATGATAACTTTCTAGAACAGTGNTGAACTTTGTCGGCTCAATCCGTTGAAGCCACCAGCCAAATATTATCATATGATTCTATGCTTTTTGGTTCTTCAGAAGAGGTTGTTTGAAGTGTTTGACAAACTTTGACATATTTGTCCCTGTAATCTTGTAAGTAGCTTGAGGTCATTTTCCTTCTCAAGCTTTGTTGGCTCTATCCCAAGCAGCTACCTGAGCCAAATCTTATGAATCCAAGCATTTTAGTTCTTCAGAACAAGTCGTTTGAAGTGTTGTTGACCTCTGTGACATTTAAAGTAGGTTGAGGTAATTTTCATTCGCAAATTTTAAATTTGATAAGCTCTATCCCAAGAAGCCACCAGCCAAATATTATGATTCTATGCCTTTCATTTATTCAGAAGAAGTCATTTGACGTTTAAGACCTATTTGACCCCTGTGACCTTGATAGATAGTCAAAGTAATTTTCACTCGCAGACTTTGTGGGGCTCTTTCAGCCAAATATCATGACTCTAGGCCAGTCCATTATTTAGAAGAAGTCGTTTGACATATTTCGTTTGACGTCCTTAAATGACCTTGGATGTTAATAGGACGTTAAACAAAATTAAACAATCAAACCCATATGACTTTGAAAGTAGATCAAGGTCATTTTCGCTCTCAAACTTAGTTGGGCTCCACCAAAAAAAGCTACCATCCATATATAAAGACTCAATAACTTTCAGTTCTTCAGAAGAAGTTGTTAAAGGGTTTGACACATTTTAACCCATGTGACCTTTAAAGTATGTCAATGTCTACTTCATTCTAAAACTTTGTCAGGCTCTTACGAATAAAGCTTTCAGCCAAATATCATAACTCTAGGCCTGTCCATTATTCAGAATAAATTGTTTAAAGGAAAAGTTGACGGATGACGACAGACCACAGTCACTGTGCCATGGGCAAGTGAGCTGATAAAAAAAAGTTTAATATACTGAACAAAAAAAGAAACGCACAATTAAATTATGCAATCAATAGTCTTTGATAGTTTGGGAAATTTGTACAAAATTTTATATCAATATGAAGGGACAAGTCTACTCTTTACAATACTGTAGAAGAAAAGTATGTGTGATGTCACTTGTGTCATCAGTAGTTACTCAAAGTGGGATACCCACGAAAAACAAAATGGCACTTCAGTACCTGGTGTGGGCACCTTTTGCACGAATCCCTGCACAGATTCTCCTATGCATTGAATTCATGAGAACATTTATTCGCCTTAAGGGAATGTTGTTCCATTCTTGTGTTAATGCTGCAATCAACTGGGCGCGGTTAGTTGGGGGGTTCTGACGTTTCCTAATACGCCTGTCCAGCTCATCCCACAGATGCTCAATGGGAGACATGTCGGGGCTATATGGGGGCCATTCCAGAGGCTGAACGTTGTTTGCCGTGAGAAAATCACGACAGACTCTGGCAACATGCGGTCCAAGCATTGTCTTGCTGGAAAATTAGGTTATGACATCTGAGAAGTGGAAGGACATGTGGTTGGAGGATCTGGTCTCTGTATCAAACGGCATTGAGGTTTTGATCCAGGATCAATAAGGGGGATTTTACTCCATGGGAGATGCCTCCCCAAACCATTACAGAAGCCCCACCGAATCTATCACGTTCAACCACGCATGCGTTGGCTAAACGCTCACCGTGTCTGCGATATACCATTTTTCTTCCGTCTGCGCGATACAGACAGAATCTAGACTCATTGGTGAACATCACACGCCTCCATCGATGCATCCCAAACCTATTCGGGCCATGTCTGCACATTCAGTTAAGACGCACTTGCCGCCTCTGTGGTGTCAGAGGTGGCCAGACATAAGGTCGGTGCGCAATGATTCTTTCGGCACACAAGCGGTTCCTGGCAGTTTGAGGACTAATGGGTCTGCCATGAGTACCTAAGGTATGCGACATAGTCTCTACAGCAGTCTTGAATCTGTTGAGCAAGTGCGACAATCGAATCGCCCTGTCTTGTCGTGCGGTCGTTACAAGCGGACGATCGCTCCTGGGACGATCGGAAACTAACCCAGTAGCACGGAAACGTGTACAGAGACTGTTAATTGTACACGGGCCAACACCAAACTGCCGTGCGACAGCAGTTTGGCTATGAGCATCCATCAACATCGCAATTGCTCTACCCCTCTGAATTTGCGTTAAGCATGGCATCTTAGTCAATGGCGAAATCAAAATGCCAATGTGGAAAATTAATGTGGCTGAACTTAGAGTATCCGTTGAGTTTATTTGATTGAAAAACTCCGGCTTGGCTTGATCACGCCGCGTGATTTGGACTAAAGTAGCTCACAAAGTCACACAATGACATTGTCACGCTTGGCTGATTTTAGGGTAGAGTTTTGAGAAGGGAGATCGTTCTTGATGTAATACCTGACCAAATATTCCATTATTTCCTTACAGCTAAGGTGTACTGCAGGGGGGGGGAACTTTGTGTGTTTCTTTTTTTGTTCAGTATATTTACATCTACTAGATTAACAAATAATGTACAAACATGGAATTCATTTTGTGTGTTCGGACATCCGCATACACCTCAATAAGAACTCATTTCATCATTGAAATTGTTTAAAAAAGTCATTATGTGTATGTAGCACTTTAAATATTACCTACACCAGTAAGTGACGACAAAATATATCATATAGATAGCTAAAAAACTCCCATATCGAGGTCACGATCGATGCCTCCCGTATATTCCTATAGGACTGTTTTGACAGCGTTGAACTTGTGACATCTCTGACGTCACAAGTTTTGAGATATATTTTTTTCTAACCTGGGTAACAAAGAAAATCCCTCTATAATTTTTACTTCTTTTCATTATTCAATTTTTCCCTTTGATGGAAGTATTGTGATATATTTAGTTTTAAATGTTGATAGCTTTATCCGGACCGTACATTTTGTGTGTCATGGGTAAACCTCCCTAAAATCCTTTAAAATATCAATAAATCTTCAATTTTGGTTCTAACAAAGTTATTGGAGGCTACAAAAGAACACAAATGATTTAATACTATGTTATATGCAGTATAATTTATGTTTTGAATGTCTCACAAATTTCTCACTAATTCAGAGAAAAAATCTCACTATTTTTTACCAAATGTCACTAAATTTACCAAATGTCACTAAAACAAATCACTGATCTCACTATTTTGCACCGGAAAGTTATGGCATGTATGGATGTGGGCTAACCATATCGATGTGATTGCCGCTGAGCCAAAGTTGTGTTTTTGAGATAGATAGCAATATCTAGGAACAGGAAACTGTGTCAACTACGACGTTCGCACTTAATTAGCTTTTTCCTGTCCAATCAGAAAGGAGCTTTCAAAAGTCGGTCATTTGGCCCCGCCCAAACAGGTGAGCACTCCATCTGTATGTTGATGAGGAGGATTATTTGGATTGTTCGTGAACGTCCTGTTACCAGTTTATACGACATGTTTGGACCATTAATAATGTATTCTTACATTTCCATGTCAGTACTCAGTACGCATGCCAATCTGTGAGTATCGACAAAATTGGTGATTAATAGTTTAGCTCTGTGAAGAGTTTTGTCCAAAATCCATACGAAATATGTGAAATGTTTCATTTGATTTCGGATCTAACCAGATGCCTTCACACGGATGGAAACAAATGTTTCAGTAATAAATGGAGGTAAGAACAAGGAATGTTTGATCTTTAATTTTCAATTTATTCAACAAAAACATTTCATCGGTCCTTTCTGTTCTGTTGCCTACTAGCTTTATCAGCGGGATTTCGCTGAGAGGCGAGCTTAACTCCATGTTGTTTTGGTTAGAAACTGGGCGGGGCTTAAGTGCGATGGGAGGAGCTCAACACGGTTGATCATGATTCTATCGCAGATTACAACATAGTCTGTATCCAATCAAAACACGGGTTGCAAATGAATCGTGTTAGAATGTGTAATATGAAATATCAGGGTACACTTTAAGTCTTCAGGTGTTGGACCAGACCAGCCTCACTTATCCTGATTTTTCATGCCTTAATATTCTTAAATGGTCAAATCCTGGTACAATGTAGCACGATTGTGTTTGGTTAGTTTATTCATGTCCTGCAATAGAATATTTGATTATGGTTAATTAGGGTGGGAATTTCAACCATTTCTGTGTTATGACTTGGGGAATATAGAAGGCAGTGGCAGATACAGGGGTGTTGCCCTAGTGCCCCGGGCAACATCCTTTTTTCTGTGTCCAAAATTAATCTGACCCAATATAAGATAAGATAAATAATGGTTTATTAAAGTGTCACACATTGATCGACGGTAAAATACAAATCACAATCATAAAATATACAAAGTAAAAACGATTAATACCCAGCATTATTGATTGACTTACGAGACAGTAAAAATCATAAAATATTCATAATTGATACATTTTATATTGATAAATTCATATACAGAAGTTAGAATATCATGTCGAAACGTATTACTATACAGAACTCTGCAACGATGTCAGTGTAATGCGGAGTCTGCCGAGCGTGCCCTTTGCCCTCCAAAACAAAGTACCACTTGGCAGACCCCAAACTGGCATAAGTGAAGGGCTCTATTTATCACATAACATCAATGTATCACACCGAAGTAAAATGGATAAACATAAGAAATACCTCGGATCATAATCAATTAGATAAGTGTGATTTGACTGTAATGAGCATGAAGTGGGGGGGATGGACTAGAGTCGGCGAATTGAGGGGATCTCTATATAGCTATCAGGCTAGCGCTTACATCAGACCCTGACTAAATCACTAAGGAATAAAATTAATATAGTTTGGAGCAGGAGTGCCCTACATTGTAAAACAACATGAGCGTTGTGCATAGGCCCTTTAGTTGAGTAGGACCCAAATAACATATCATAAAATATTATACAAATCTGTAATACTGTGTTGTGCTGAGTAATACTTCGATATACTTATACGAAATTCAAAAGTAGCTGTGATTTGAAATAACTTTCTTATAAAGCAAGCAAATAGAACTGGAACATATTTTGGGTAATGTTATCTACATGGAGCTTCAATTGATCAGTCGATACAACAGTCAGTCCTACATTATTGTTTACTGTATATCTTGATGTAGTTAAGTTTTCATTCGGTGAAATTAAGTTAATACTAAACAAGAGGCCCAATGGGCCTGCATTGCTCACCTGTTATTAATCTAACACTTGTAATCTTAAGATTTCATAAGAACCTATTAAAAGATTTAAACATATGACGCCTCTGACCTTGATTGTTGAACAAGGACATTAGGTTGAAAGTGGATCAAGGTCATTCATTTGAACTAACATGGTAGTCCTTCATCCCAGCATGCTACAGGCCCAATTTGAGTACCCTGGCCCTTTTGCTTATTGAAAAGAAGTTGCTTGAAGATTTTACGACATTTGACCACTGTGATCTTGAAAATTGGTCAAGGTCATTCAGTTGAACAAACTTGATAGTCCTTCATCCCAGCATGCTACAGGCCCAATATCAGTACCCTTGGCCTTTTGGTTATTGAGAAGAAGTTGTATTAAGATTTTACGACAATTGACCAATGTGACCTTGAAAGTTGGTGAAGGTCATTAATTTGAACAAACTTGGTAGCCCTTCATCCAAGCATGCTACAAGCCGAATATCAGTACCCTGGGCCTTTTGGTTATTGAGAAGAAGTCGTTTGAAGATTTTACGACATTAGACCCCTGTGACCTTGAAAGTTGGTCAAGGTCATTCATTTGAACAAACGTGGTAGTCCTTCATCACTGCATGCTACAGGCCCAATTTCAGTACCCTGGCTCTTTTGGTTATTGAGAAGAAGTTGTTTGAAGATTTTGAGACATCTGACCCCAGTGATCTTGAAAGTTGGTCAAGGTCATTCATTTGAACAAAATTGGTAGCCCTTCATCCCAGCATGCTACAGGCCCAATATCAGTACCCTGGGCCTTTTGGTTATTGAGAAGAAGTCGTTTGAAGATTTTACGACATTAGATCCCTGTGACCTTGAAAGTTTGTCAAAGTCATTCATTTGAACAAACTTGGTAGTCCTTCATCCCAGCATGCTACAGGCTGAATTTCAGTACCCTGGCCCTTTTGGTTGTTGAGGAGAAGTGGTTTGAAGATTTTACAACATTTGACCCCTGTGACCTTGAAAATTGGTCAAGGTCATTCATTTAAACAAAATTGGTAGCCCTTCATCCCAGCATGCTACAGGCCCAATATCAGTACACTGGGCCTTTTGGTTATTGAGAAGAAGTTGTTTGAAAATTTAAGACATCTGACCCCAGTGACCTTGAAAGTTGGTCAAGGTAATTCATTTGAACAAACTTGGTAGCCCTTCATCCCAGCATGATGCAAGCCCAATATCAGTTTCCTGGGCCTTTTGGTTATTGAGAAGAAGTTGTTTGAAGATTTTAACATATTTCAACCCCTGTGACCTTGAAAGTTGGTCAAGGTCATTTATTTGATCAAAGTTGGTAGCCCTTCATTCCAGCATGCTACAGGCCCAATATCAGTATACTTGGCCTTTTGGTTATTGAGAAGAAGTTGTTTGAAGATTTAAGACATCTGACCCCAGTGATCTTGAAAGTGGATCAAGGTCATTCATTTGAACAAACTTAGTAGCCCTTCATCCCAGCATGCTACAGGCCCTATATCAGTACACTGGGGCTTTTGGTTATTGAGAAGAAGTTGTTTGAAGATTTAAGACATCTGACCCCAGTGACCTTGAAAGTTGGTCAAGGTCATTCATTTGAACAAACTTGGTAGCCGATCATCCCAGCATGCTACAGGCCCTATATCAGTACCCTGGGCCTTTTGGTTATTGAGAAGAAGTTGTTTGAAGATTTTAACGTATTTGACGTATTTGACCACTGTGACCTTGAAAGTGGGTCAAGGTCATTTATTTGAAAAACTTGGTAGCCCTAGATCCAAGCATGCTACTGGCCAAATATCATCTTCCTAGGCCTTTTGGTTACCGAAAAGAAGTTGTTTAAAGCAAAAAGTTGACGCCAGACAGACGGACAGCGGATGGACGGACGGACGCCGCACCATAACATAAGCTCACTTGCCCTTCGGGCAGGTGAGCTAAAAAACATGTTCATGGGGAGACTGAGGCAAGTTCGACCCATTTTTATTAAAGTGGTTCTGGGCTGTATGGCATTTGTTGAAAGGACTAGGGGCGTTAAAGTTCATTTCCGACCTCATCGGATATTTAGGATAAGTTGTTATATTCATTATCAGGAATAAATGAAGTACGCAAATATGAAATTTCAAATTCATTCGACAACTGGTTTAGGAGATATGGCATAACAAAACGAGACATAAACGCGTGAATATCGTCTGTTGTGCGCTATTTGGTTGAAATTTGGCCATTTTGAAAGCCTCCGCATGCAACAAATGAATATTTGACATGCTGAAACATTGTTATACAAGACAGTGTTCATTTGTAGAAAGGAATGCTTGTTTGTCACATGCGGAGGCTTACATTTCTGTATGTTAACTATCATAAAACAACATATTTTGGCTATTTCTGCATAGCAACACAGTTCGTTGCTATGGTAGGGCATCTACACATGCACATTGAAAAAATCAACACCAAGTAAGGTAGCCCGATTAACCAATATGATGTTTATAACAGAAATTGGCAAATACAAATAAAAACAAACAAATATGAGGCCAAAAATGACCCATTACGCCCCAAGATCTTTGCATGCATATACACACATTTTGAAAAGACATGCCATGCCTTTCATGAACTAATAACAAAAGGGCTAACATGTCCACATTTGAAGAATTATTCAACTTTTTCTGTCTTAAGATTGGATGACTTGCCTTGGGGCAAGTTTGGACAGGCAGTATTGAGTAAGTACGGCCCAGGTTTTCCAGCCAACTTCAAGACTTTTATATGTTGTATGGGCCGAACTTGCCTCTGTCTTCCCTATAGTCAGCAACACATATACCTATTTATTTTTTTAATCCCTATAATATTATAATATGATGAAAGATATTAGGAGAGAGCCTCCTTGTTTTTTTTGCCAATTGGTTATTCCTAAGCATGGAAAATTGTGGCTAAAGTGCTTTTATTTTTAAAGTTTGGGAAACACCCTAAATAAATTTCTGTATCTGCGCCTGGGAGTTATAAAAGAGGTAAATCATTAAAATCCTTCTCCTTCCACAGTAATGAAGGAATGCTAACCAACTTTAATTTAGAGCATCCTTGAGCCAAGTGTCCCCTCCCCCCTCCAAGTTCAACCTTCAACCCCATTCTTAGCTAAACTGCTCTTGGGCTATGGGAATTCAATTTTGTATATATCGAGGGTGTGCGCCTCCACTGATCCCTGCCTGCTGCCCTAGGGCCTGATGATTACCTTGGCCTAAGGCTATACAAGAGGAAATATTGTCAAAATCCCTCCATGTGTATATAAAGAGATAAATAAAGAGATAGGTTTTGAAGATGCAATACATAATTGAGTTCCTTCTGCCCAATGTTGCTCCAGACTAAATTGGTTTTACATCTCTTCAATCATACAAAACGAGTAAGATTTGAAACATGTACCTCTATTTCCCTTATTGGAGGGCAAAGGCCCTCAAACCCCAGGAGGTCCACACCCTTCATTTACATGGCTCAGTGATTTTTCATGTCAAAAAGCCTTCAATGGCAGTAATCTATCAGGGATTAACCCATTTTCCCCTTATTAGGCCCTGATCCCATGTCCCCATTGGGCACATTCCCTTGGTTTATAATGTACAACACTGAAAAATTGATGAAAAAATTGATGGAACAAAAGTCGTTTTGGCCCATCAGGCTAGGTGAGCTAAACAATTAAAAACTTACCATCGTCTGGCCTTTTGGGTCCTTTTTTTTCCACAACTACCTGTTTTTTGTCCTCACTGAGCTTCACTAATAAGTATTCAGTGCCATCCAGCTTGTTCAACTTAAAATCAGTCAGGGTGTTTTTCAAATCATCACTTATTCCAATTCCAGACTGCAATTAAACAGAACATAAACAGCCATGTTAACACTTTACTACCTTAAATATATACTGTATAGCACTCTTATGTAACGGTGTCAAACTATTCCACTGTTAAGCCAAGGCACTGTTTCACAGGGATTAAATTTCGCTGCAGAAAACCTATTTGCTGGATGTTGATCATGAATTCACCATTAAAGGATCTGACTAAAAGACAATGTACTTTATGAAAATTTTGTGGTTTTCATTTTAAATAAACATGGCAAAATTAAAATTACAAGAATGAAGAAAAACAACAGGCCCATGGGCCTAAACAGTCACCTGAGTAAATTCTGAAGTACTCAAATTGTAGCATGTTCTTTTTTTCAAATTGGCATAAAGTTACTTTGGAGAGAGGCATACGCCGATACTATCCTGGAGACCAGGCATACACATGCTGTACAGGTGAATTAGATGATACGTTTAATGGATTATATACAGATGAAGTTGAAAATGTCCTAGCCAATCACAGGCCAGGGTGGCCATCTGGAATTTTACTATCCGCATGAAAAGTGACAAACTTTGTCGAAATCTCATAAGGAACACTTCTTCTAAGTTAGAAGTCAATCGGTGTAAGCCTTTCTTGAGAAGAAGTCAAAAACACCTCAGTCAATAAGAGGTCAGGGTGACTATCTTGGATTTTCTGATTGGCACAAAAAGTAAGAACACTTGTTCGGAACCTCATAAGGAACATTTGTACAATTGAAGTCAAAATGTTTTCGTCTCAGCAAATAAGAGGCCAGGATCGGCCATCTTGTATTCTCCAATTGGCAGTAACTCTGCCAGTTACTGTCTGATCAGGCCCATTTGCGAACTTATCTGATATCTTATTGATATAGAGCAGCATAGCAAAATTCAGTGAAATCCATTTGCATTTACTGAAGTTATTGTGCTCACAAGCTCAAGGCCCATAGGCTCCAATAGTTATAAAAATTTCAAAGTCCCATAACTGCCAGTTACTGTACGATCAGCTCAGTTTTGAACACGTCCAGGATCTTATTGACTTTCAGCTGCATAGCAAAATTCATCAAAAATACATTCACATAATTTATTGAAGTTATTTTGCTCACAAGCTCAAGTCCCATAGGCTCCAATAGTAATTTTTAGTATTTTTTTTAGTAAAACTTCAAAGTCCCATAACTCTGTCTGTCTGATTGGGACCATGTTTTAAATTGTCTGCAGTGCTATTGATATAAAGTAGCATAGCAAAATTGATTAAAATCCATTTATTTTTACCCAAGTTATCGTGCTCAAAAGATAAAAGTTGTCAACTTAACACACGATGCAGGACGACAGATAAAGATGGATGGCAATAAGTCACCACGACCTATGGTCAGGTAACCTAAAAATAGAAATGGCTTACACAGGAGTATCTTAACTGAAAAAGGAACAGGGCATTACTACCTGAAATGTGGGGAAAACTGTCTGAAAATGTAAGATGCACATCCTCCTGTCATACCGATACCCTGTACCAAATTTGAAGTAAATCTGACTAAAACTATTCACAGAGTTGATTACAAAAGCGTTAACTAACTGAACAACAAAAGATCCCAGAAGGATCTTGATGCCAACCATTGTACCATCTTCATTAATTGTCTCAATTGTCATTTTGATCTTTTTTCTCTTCTTTTCTCTTATCTGTTTGATCAGTTTGCCTGTCTGCCATTTTAATCAGTCTTTTGATCAACCTCGAAAGTTAATTAACATGCACAACGAAGGACTAAGAGGAACCTATATATCAAATCTGAGAAAGAGTCCTCCAGTACTTTCTGAGAACCAGCGACAACAAACTTTACCTGTAAAAAAGATAGCTGCCTGTCAGCATCCTGGTTTTTGGATCAGTCCAAAAATTGATATACATAACTAAGAACCAAGAGGAACACTTATTTGAAATTTGAGGAAAGTCCCTCCAATACTTTTTGAGCAATAGCACTAATAAAATTTTACTTCAAAATTCAATATGGCCACCTGCAGGCCATCTTGGTTTTCCAGTTATCCCTTAAACATTGAGAACTTTCATGTGAGAGATAGTGCTAACAAACTTTACTTCTTAACTTCAAGATGGCTGCCTATCGGCCATCTGGATTTTGTGGTCATTCCAAAAAAAAAATATGCATAGCTAGGGACCATGGGAATCCTGCCTTCGAAAATTGAGAAAGATCTCTCCAGCTCTTTTTTGAGAAATAGCGCTAACAAACTTTAACTCTCAAATTAAAGATGGCTGCCTATCGGCCAGCTTGGTTTTCCAATCATCCCTAGTTGATATGCATAACTAAGGATCATGGAGAACCTTCATTTTAAGATCCCTTTAGCAAGTTCTGAGAAATGGTGCTAAAAAACTTTAACTCTCAAATTCAAGATTGCGTCCATCTTATTTTTGTGATCAGTCCTTAAAAAAACCCAATGCATAACTAGGGACCATGGGGAACCTTCATGTGAAATTAGGGAAAGATCCCTCCAGTACTTTCTGAGAAATAGCGCTATTAAGAATTGTTTAAGGACAGACAGAACGATTTGAATAGCCCACCATCTGATGATGGTGGGCTAAAAAGCAAAGGGGTCATAACTCGATGTTAATGGGGTGAAAAATCTACATAACAAGAGGCCCAGAGGATATTTGAGCAATCACAGGAAATATTCTCAATTAAAGTACTTTTGCAAATATTTCCATATATTGAGTCTCCCTTGCTGAACCATGTTCCAGACTAAATGAAACTTTATACTACTCCATCGAAGCAAGCTACTGGTAAAATATCATCACCCAGGGCCTCCTGGTATTGCAGTTTTAAGTTGTTCAAAGATATTCACATATTTGACTTCTGTGACCGTGAAAGAAGGTCAAAAGTAATATGTTTTGGGAAATTTTATAGCACTCTGTCTCAGGTACCTAATGGCCAAATGTTATTACTCTGGGCCTCCTGGTTATTCAGAAGAAGTTGTTTAAAGGTTTTTAAACACATTTGACCCTTGCAATCTTTAAAGTAGGTCAAGGTCATTTATTTGAGGAAACTTTATATCACTTCATGCCAGGTACCTAAAATATCATTGATGTGGGCCACTTGGTTATTCAGAAAGTTATTTAAATGTTTTTACAATTTTGAACCCTGTGACCGTGAAAGTAGGTCAAGGTCATTTATTTGAGGAAATTTTATAGCACTCTATCCCAGATGTCTACTGGCCAAATATCATTGCTCTAGGCCTTTTGGTTATTTAGAAGAATTTGTAAAAAGCCTTTTACATATTTGACCCCTGTGACCTTGAATGTTGGTCAATGTCATTTATTTAATGAAACTTTATGCAATGTATCAATGTAAATGTTATGGTCTTTGCTGTAAATGCCTCTCTATGTCTATAACAATAAAAGTGTCCTTTCAAAATTGTTAACAGGAGAAGAGAAATGCACAGCCAGACCAGGATTCGAGCCTGGGACTCTCCCAACTCTGGACAGACACTCTAATAAACTCTCCCAACTCTGGACAGACACTCTAATAAACTCTCCCAACTCTGGACAGACACTCTAATAAACTCTCCCAACTCTGGACAGACACTCTAATAAACTCTCCCAACTCTGGACAGACACTCTAATAAACTCTCCCAACTCTGGACAGACACTCTAATAAACTAACATACCTGGTAACTATTATTTCGCACTTCTACATGACATATCAGTACGCAGGAGCGATTTGCAGATCTAATTTGAATTAGATTGCATTCTTCACCCTTTATTCTGTTAGTGTTCGCCCCCATTTGACTCGACTAACCGGGACCCTGCCAAGCATTCACCCAATGCTTAAAACAAAGTTTGGCCACAGGCACCATCGTAACAAAAGAGAAATGCACGGCCACACCAGAATATGATCCTGATGCTGTATCAATTGAGCTGTCTGATCCCCAGCAAATGTCAATGCAAGTCCAGTTCCACTACGAAACGAAGGAATGGCTACTGTACCACAGGGTTGCCAACACTCACGGCGTGAGACAAAATCTCACGCTGACACATCCTTATTCACGCTGAAACATGTCTCACGCCATGTGAGCCATAAATCTCACCTCAAGCATTCGAAATTGTTCTCCCTCCATACCATGCAAAGCAATAAAATCGACAATTTTTAGCTTGGACCATACAAAGGGAAATAACTCCTATTGCAATGTTTTGCTTTGGAAGTGAGCTGATGCGAGGTGTCAGTGTAATCGAATATAAATACATGGTAAGGTAAGTTGTTTGTGTCATCTGCTGGATATAACTACTTGGTAGTAAAGTGGATGTTAAATCAATCAATCAATCAAGTGTTTGCACACGTAAACCTAGTATTAAAGAACTGCTGGTAATAACTTAACAATATATTCAATATGCTTAATTTATAAATACAGACCATGGAGAACCTTCCTGTGAAATTTGAGGACCCTTTCAGTACTTCCTAAGAAATAGCACTGACTAACTTTTAACTGTTAATATTCAAGACAGCTGCCTGACCACCATCTTGGTTTCCCGATCAGTCCCTTAATTTCACATGGGTAACAAGGGACCATCGGGAACCAACATCTGAAATTTGAGAAAGATCCCCCCAAATACTTTCCAAGAACAAGAGGCCCAATGGGCCTGCATCGCTCACCTGGTATAAATCTCACACTTGTAACCTTAAAAGTGATCTAAAATAAAGCTACAGGCAAAATAAAATATCAGTATTTATGATTAAAATTCATTCAAAAGAACCTGTTATTTTTTTTTAAACATTTCACCCCTGTGATTGAAAGTCGAACAAAGTCATTATGTTAAACAAATTTTATAGCCTTTCATCTCAGGATGCAACTTGCAAAGTATCAACATCCTGGGACCCATGGTTATTCAGAAGAGGTCGATTAAAGATTTTAAACAAATTTGACCCCTGTGACCTTGAATATAAGTCAAAGTCATTCACTTTAACAAACATAGTAGTCCTTGATCCCAGCATGCTACTGACTAAATATCAACATCCTAAGCCTTTTGGTTATTCAGAACAAGTTGTTTATTTTTTTTTATATTTTGACCATATTTGCTCCTTGTGACCTTGAATATGATTCAAGGTCATACATTTAAACAAACTTGGTAGCCCTTGATCCTAGTAT